GTGTCCGGATACTTATGGACGGTAGTGTATGTTCATTCTTCAAGTTTTACCTAAGCTCTCGAATTTTAAATTCCTACTTTTTTATTTTCCTCAACTTCTAATTTATTCCAAAACTCTTACATTTCTAAATTGACACATTCTCAACACCCACGCTTCCGCATCCCCAAATATTCCCAAATTCCAACATAGTCGAATTCTGAAGCCCCTAAACATCTAAAACTTAGGAAATTCCTACGGTTCGAAATCTGAAAATCCCCGGAAGCGTAGTACAGTGTCAAGTAGTTGGTCCTCTATCTCGCGGTGCAGTTTCCCCAGGGATTGGTACGGTGGTCAGTAATGTACGTAACAATTGTCGAGATCGGCCAATATTGAACCAATCGATTCTTTCGTCGGGAACGAGCACGGATGCAGCGGTTCTTTGTGCGTCAGTTTTTCACGTCGACCGGAAATATCGACGAGACAAAACGCGGTAGAAGATCGAACGCGTTGATAGCGTGGAATCGTGCAAAATTCACGGCTTTCGACGCGAATGCGTGGAGAGAGGCGGAGAGTAGAGGAGAATCCATGGGCCAGAATTCGTTCGATGGAGTCAGGGGCCATTGGCCGACAAGCCGGCGACGGGACGGATATTACCCGCCGGCAAAGCATCTCGCTTCGTTCCTCCATGCACGTATATCTCCTCCCATTACGAGTTTAGAGATACGACTGATTTCCTGCTTACTAAAACACACTGTCTTATTGTCAAACCCCTTACTTTTCCGTGGATTTCCTCCGTGAATTTCGTTTACCTAATTTTTATACACTGAACATTATAAGCGAATTATTCCTTTTAACACTAAAACTACCAGACCGCTCCACAAGTTTCTTATTAAAAGGTATACATTTTGTTGAAGTACATTTCTTGAAATCAGAATTGATTTTTTAACCGACTTCGAAAAAGGAGGAGGTTACTCAATTCGATCAGTATATTTTCTTTTTTTATGTAGATCCATGCCTTCCACATGTGAACGAAGTCGATTCAATTTCATTTATATCAGAAACGTTGCGAAACGAAGATGCAGTCGTTACATTTACGTATATTACCAGATATATCTATAACGTTCGTATTCTTTTTCAGGATTTATTAATTTCCAATACGCCATACCACAATCAACTGGTTATTGGCAGCAACGTTTACTGAGGTATTTTTAATTTTGCGCCGCCTCCGAAAAGGTTGAAATGTATTTAATATAGTACCTAACGAGTAAATAGGTTTCATTCATATCTGTTACGTAATTGTATGATTGAATGAAATAGAAATTACTTCATTAGGAAATAGAAATTATTTTATACTTTTTAGTGCATTTCGAAGTCGGCGTATTTTTTTTCTTAAAATTATTTTATCATCAAGATAAAGAATAAATGTGTGTACTAATTTATGTTTCGTCGTTTGTTTATTTAATTTTTAACTTCATTTCTAATTTCAAATTAGGTACGCATTGTATGCCGGTAGGTTTAGTAAAAATCCTAGACGAATATTTTAACCCTTTGCGCTCGAAGGTAATTTGACTGTTTGCAAACAGCAACTTTTATACTTAAGTTAAAAAGTTAATTCTTTTGAGGTTATTATTTCTCTACTAATAATTTCCATTATTGTTTATTTCACTGTGTTTATACATCACACATGTCATGTAGAATCAGTTAACTGCTTATTTCAAATTATTGTATTAAATAAAATGACTGAGTCACCCCTCGAGCGCAAAGGGTTAAGATCCTCAAAATATAGGATCTTCAAATTTTCAAGCACTGTGATCGATGAATAAATGAGTTTATTTCCAACTCGTTTCATCCACAAGTCTATTTTTAAACTGAATAACATCTCGAAAATAATGTGCAGTTTTTTAATATTCGAAAATATTCCGCTTACATAAATGGCGAATCAACACCGTAATTGGCATCGCTCAAAAATAGAAGTGCGATGGCCATGAACTGTAGACAATAGACTCGCAAGCAGAAATAGAACGACGGTTTCTTTCGCGTTTTTCAAAACAGTCGATCGATGCGCTAATAACACCGGTATCTGCCCTGTATAAATATCTGAGCGGAACATTCGCATAATCGAGACGCTGTATCACGAATCATCGAGTAATCGATTCGCGAACTTCCTGCTAGGAAAATGGAAAATTTTCCCGAGGTATCTCCTTTCCGCGCCTGGTTATAAGTTAACGAAATCGGTAATTAACGAGCTTTCGACGCTCGGTGGGGAAACGAACAAGATAGCGAGAGTGAATGGGAATTTGCGAACGTGCAATCCGGTATTTTAGCCTTCGTCGGCTTAAAATAAACGCGACAGCACGCCCGTTCCTCTCTCTCTCCGCCGTCGTCAAATATTCAAACGAGCCTGCCACTCCGTCCGATGGAACGATCTTCGATAATTAATCCTTTCGTCCTGACACGATTCTGACAAAACGGACTCCTTGTGGACCGAACACGACGCTGACATCTCGTCGCTGAACGTACGTACTGCATATCGTACCATTTTCTATTCTATAAATTTTGTAGCGGCGTTCTACGCGGATTAGAATCGAAGACACGGATGGCACCGCGTCGCGTTAAACGTGCCTTTCGAACGGAGGAGCCGGTTTCGACTTTTATACACATGCTATATACGCAATTAACCAACGACCTTTGTGGAATTATGCAGTTATCGTTATCTCCGATAACGCGGCTACCTTTTAAATAAAAACCCAATGAAGTGCTATTGCGAATTCGGCTGAGATAAGCATATTTTTATCTGTCGTAAATTCGTATATCCGAACGTTCCGCGTCAACAGCTTTATATTTAGTTTGGTACTTTATATAATTGACAGGTTCAATTTATAAAACTGCGGTATTAGAGCATCTGCATAAAGAGACGAATATGAAGAGGAAAAGGTCGGATGCGAAAACAAA